TTTTTTTTTTTTACTAATTCTTACTTCATTCACTAGTGATGTAAGATCAGTTGGTAAGCAACCCTTATCTGGACTATCCCATCGATGAAATTTCCCATCTCCAATCGAATAAAGAATTGCTAATGTTTCATCTTCAGTAAAACTAGGTATTAAAGGACCCCAAAATAGAGCCGTTGGTGATCCTGGTTGAGTATATCTCCAATCATAAACAACACGTGAACGTCCCGTAAGTGTATCATAAAGTGCTATATGACCCAAACGAGTAGAATAAGCAATACGACCTTCACGAATGGGATGCCAAGCTAAACGACAAACATCAGCTGGAATTGATTGCCAAAGGAAAGAAAGAGAAGGTGAACCATAAGAAGATAAATCTAATATGCCAATATTTCCTGTATCAACAGCTAATGCAATACAACCTAAAAGAAACAACATAACATTGAAGAAAATACTCGAACAAAAATCGTTCGAACTTGTTTGAAGAGGACATGCTTGAATCGCATTAACAGAACCTGGAATTGACACAAGAGACTTTATTAATATTGATGATGAAAGATCACAAATACATAACTAAACAAAAAAAAAACAAAAGAATTCATTTAAATCAATTTAAAGATATAAAAAAAAAACACTCTACTTTTCGATTAAATGAATAAGTAAATAAAGTTTTTTCATCTTTGATAACAACAGAGAAGACAGGTTTACCAGCTGATACTGGTGGTGTTATATTTAATTGAGATTTTTCCATATGTGATGAATGACGAATATCAATCTTAATTAAATGACCACTAAAACAAAAAGATATAAAAATATCCTTTTTAAGAACTTTTTTTTTATTTTTAGAAAGGAAAAGTATCTATTTGTTGCTCAATAATTGATAGATCAATACTAGAAAAAATATTCTGAATAAACCAATTTATATATTTTCATCTATGAACAATAAAAGTTCACTTAAATTCTTGAATTAAATAATACGTACACTTACGACGAGACTGTTCCAAATA